CAATATTAAACATTATTGACAATCGTGAAAATTCAAGTAAAATTTAGCAGCATCTCTTTTGATAACACGAATCAAACTGCCCAAGGACACAATGAAACAGCTGGAAAAAAATAAACACCCCCCCCAAAAAAAGGAAAACATTTTTGGAGGTGGGGTTGGGGGAAATTGTCTTGTATGAATATGTGAATAAATACATTATGAATATTTTTATTCGACGCCAAGTTAAGCGGTCATCGGCTGTCCTGACTCTATGACTTTCACACTCCGGACAGTGGACAATAAACATTTAACTTCGTTACCTAAGAGTTACAAAGTTCTATCTGGCCTTTTTGGTCGTTTGACAATCGTGTAAACTCGAGTAAAAATTTTTGCAGCATCTCTTTTGACAACACGAATCAAATTGCTCAAGGGGAAGAATGAAACGGCTGGATTTTAAAAAATATAAGCTCCCGAAAAGTAATTTTTTGGTGGTTTTTTTTTTTGGGGGGGGGTGGGCTTTGTATGAATAGGTGAATAAATAATTATATTATGAATAATGTTATTGTTCCTACGTTGTTAAATGTGCTCGTGTCCAGGCCTCACGGGTTTGTACCCTGCCACGGCTGCCCTGCACTACGCCAGGTCCGCAAGTGACCCCGTCATAACCTACATCGACGCCAAGAGAAGTGGTCACCGACTGTCCTGACTCTCTGACTCACACACTTGGGACAGTGGACAATGAACATATTATTGACAATCATAAAACTCGAGTAAAAATTGTTGCAGCATCTCTTTTGTTAGCACGAGTCAAATTGCTCAAGGGGCAAAATGAAACGGTTTGATTAAAAAAAACAAAAAACAGCAACAACCCAACCCCCAAAACATTATTGGGAGTGGGTTTGGGAAAGTTGTCGTGTATGAATAAGTGAATACATACATCATGAATACTTTTATTTGTTAACAGGATGAGCGGTCACCGACTGTCCTGACTCTCTGACTCACACACTTGGGAAAGTGGACTATAAACATTGTATTGACAATCATAAAACTCTATTAAAATTGTTGCAGCATCTCTTTTGACAATACATGTCAAATTGCTGAAAGTGAAAATAAAACGGTTTGATTAAAAAAACCCACACACCTACAAATATTATTGTGTTGTTTTTTGGGGGGAGGGGGGGGGGGCTTTGTATGAATATGTGAATAAATATATCATGAATAATTTTTCATTGTACTTGATTTGTTAAAGGTGATTTATTCTCGGTCCACAAATTAACGTGCCCAACTTGGAAAATAGATAAAATTAAATAACCGCTTTATAAATCTTAGTGAAATTTATAAAGAATAATTGCACCTTATGATACTGATTTTTAAAAATAGATATAAATCAACATGAATTTCAGATAGCATGCTCATCCTATGCAAAGAAAAAGCCAGGTGACCTTAAACAAACTTTTCAATGGTTTACAGTAAAGGTATGTGTAAAAATTCAACAACGTGGCAAAACGTTAAAAACACGAGAATGTCATTGATTAGAAAGGAGTGTCAGAGTCATAGTTGTCAACAGTGAGTAAACTACAGCACACGAAACTCAGTTATGAGGATACGCTACTGAATACGAATACTACCTGGTGCACCACAGCATTTCTGTAACCTAAATATTGTGGGCCAAAAATAGTTAATCTTTTTTGTCTAAAAGAGCTAAATTGGTCGCTTTTAAGGGCAAGCGGGCTAACCCAGATTTCGGGGATTTCCAGAAATCTTGAGGTTCAACAAAAGGGGGCATTGTCCTTCCTGTAGGAGAAGTTTTTTGTTGTTGATTTGTATATTTGTTTGGTAATAAAGAAAACTCCCTTGTCTTTTAAAGAAACAGAATATAGGACAACAATTTTACCTTCGATTTTCCCCCAAAGCAGCATTTTTCGGGATAGCCCCCTTTTGCTTAAAAGTGACCAATTGAAAACTGAACCATTTATCTTATACATTCAGTTGTAAAAATTCTTACGGTCAGTGAAATAAATAAATCCTTTGCAAAATGTCAGCAAATTCCACAAAACGTTCTTGGGGGTATTGCATGCTGTTCAATCAAAGTTGGGACACGTATTTGAGGACAACAATAAATAGTTTACCATCTTCAGTGACTGCCAGTTCAATGACCTACCAGCAATCATGACTGTTGATCACAATGTCTACATCTCGTGACTGGTGGGTTCACTCACATTGCTTCAATGGCCAATAAAAAAAGAGAAAAGAAGCGTGGTGTCAGTACTAGTAGTAACTGGAATCATGAAAGTACGAGGGATTGAACGTGTGAAAGATTGAAAGTATGACGGATTGAAATGTATATTCATTGACCAAATAAGAAAAAAGAAAAGAAAAAAGAGATGGACATTGTCTTGTTTTGACTGCCAGGGCTACATTTCTGAAATAGTTTTATATATATGTTACTTTATTGAGATTACAGCGCTCGTTTCTCAACCTCTGCCTAAGACCCTTTTTTATACATATATTATTGTTCGGAATAAAACTTGTCTGACCGTTGCTAAACTTGTTCGGGTCACACAAATAAAATGAAAAAATGAAAACAGAAAGGACAGAGTCGTTTGTTGTTGTGCACTCTTCTGTCTGTTTGCTTCAGTAGGAGAGACACGAGTGAGACAGCGTGGTGGAATCAGGCTCTCGTCAAAATAATCAAAGTGAAGAAACTTGCATTGTTCCGCAGGTTTGTGAATTTTTATCAAATTTGTGTTTTTTTGCTCGACGCCTTTCATGCCCATAAAAGAAACTCATTTCTGAGTGGATTTTTCTGAAAAACCTTGGTTGAAGGCACAGATGTAAATTTTCAGTAACCACGGACTCTTAGCTAAGGAAATAACTAATCTTTGGCTGCCATTTTCTCACTAATTTTACCTCTGAAAAC